CTCAAATACAAAAAATGCTAAGTATACCTCAGCAAGGACCCCTGCAATCCCATCAAGGTCAAGGGTGCCGACACCCCTGACCGCCTCCCTTTCAGATGGAGGAACTGCTTTGATCATGGACTTGGCTACCTCTACCAAGTCAGGTTCCTGAGGGCCGGCTGCATCAAGCGTAAAAAAGCAAGTTAGACCTAGTCAAGAAGAAAGCAAGTGAGTTTTTACAAGTAATTGTCCATACTTCTAGGCGGCCCCGCCGGAGTTTTAGAAGAAGTGGCCGGCTGCTTTTCAGCCGCCACTGTTTTCCTGGAAGACCCAGGAGAGCTTGCAACAGTCGTCCTCCGGGCCTTGGGGTCCGGCTGTTGCGAGGAAGAAGCTCTTGGAGTGCCCGACTAAAAAAAAAAAAAAAAAAAAAAAAAGTTAGAATATGCATAAGCCAACTCCTAAAAGAGGAAGAGTTTCGAGGCCTACCAAGGGTGCCCCCTTGTTGGGGGAGTCGGTACAAGACTGTTGCATGAGAGAGGCCCGCAACATGGCCGTCGCAGTCTTGGATGCTGTTATTTTGCTCATGGCGTCAGCTGCAAAAAATAAACAGCAAAGTTAGTAAAAATCTCAAGTAAACAAGGCGTGAAAAAACAAAGTATTTGACAGGCCGGCTACCTCTAGAGCACCGACTGCTGAGGCCGCAGGCGGCCAAAAAGTACTCATCATAGAGCCATTTGAAGCTCGGGACGCAGTTTAGGGGTACTTGCTCTCGTACCCCTGAAGTAGAGTTCACCCTAGTCTCTACTTTGAAGAGTCCTTTGTCTAGGATCTCTCTTTTAGCCTTTGGGGGAACAGGCGGCATGCTGCGGCCGCCTGCGAGAAGAGGCGGATCCCTATTCCACTTGTTAAAACGTTGGTTCAGCTCCGTGTCTGAACCCTCAATGATAAGGAAGGTGTTCCGCCAATCCTTCCATTTGTTCGCTTTACCTCTCGTCATGAGGTAACCCCTATGGCTTGTCAATTGATACCAGCCGGTACCTCCCGACTTAGGGGTCCGGCTGAGATAGTTCATATGGGCGAAAGCCTCAAAGTTTGGCTCCACCCCGTACAATTCGCACCCGGCCACATAGCCGAGTACGTTTACCCAAGAGTTGGGGGCTAACTGCCATAACCCCAAATCATACCCATCTAAAATCCGCTGAACAGCCGGATGTAATGGGAAGCGCAGTCCAGCTTTGATGGCCGCCTCATAGCAGCCAAAGCAGCCGTTATCATAGCTGGTACCAGCCGGCCAGACGACAGTGTCTTCTGGATCCGGCACGAACAGTAAAAATCCGGGGCCCATTCTGTGGTTAGCTATAAAGCTCTCCACTTTGTCTTTCATGGCCGCGATCCGGCCCCGGGGTACCGTGCAGTAGTAGGGGGTATTTTCCGCTCTGTAAGAGGCGGACGGCTCCGCCCAATTGCTCCCCTTCTCAACTGCATGAGAAAGCCTCGCCTCTTGTAGGCGGCTGTTTCTTTCTTCTGAGCCTGGAGAACTGTGGCCAGAAGAGCTGGACTCGGACTCGTCCTCTGACGAGTCCGAAGAGGACGACTCCTCCCCTCTCCCAGAGGGGACCGCCTCCTCTCCCTTAGAAGGAGCAGGAGGAAAGTTAGACATATCAACGGTAAGATGGGAAGGGACCACCTTGCCCCCTCTCTCAGAACTGTCGGCTTGGCAGCCGCCTTGTTTCAATTCTACATCTGGCGCCTGGTCAGATGTTTCACTAAGGAGCACCCTTTGGGAGGAGCCGTCTGAGTTTGATATCATAGCAGTCTTTTTTGTTCTGGCCATCACGTTCTGCATAGACACAGATACAGTCGGACTTTGTATAAAGGGCAAGGATGGGTCCAGAAAAGGGCAGGCGGCACTCCTAGTCCTAGATTCAGCCGTCCCCGGTGACCGGCTGATCACTAACTTAGGTCGTGTCGTGTGCTTCCGTGGTGCCATTTCAAAAAATAAAAAGAAAATTTAAAGAGTAAGAGAACTGAGTTACCTGAACGAGTGACGGTTGATGAAGTTCTGGAAATCCGGGTCAGTCGGCTTGTCAGAACAGGCGGTAGGCAGAAAAGGTCCGAAATGTCAGAGCAAGTTCAGGGGTCCGAATGTTCTCGCGAAGTTCTCAAATGTGAAAATGACCGAACTCAGCACTTCCTTATATAGGCAAAGTGAGAAGGCGAAGGGTCGCTTCCAAATTCAAAATTTGGGCGGGAAAATCTCTCGGCCGTTTGCAAGGTGACACCTGTAGCAGGCCGTCGCCTGTCACCGTGCGACACCTGTCACAGGCGACACATGACCAGTCACGTGCCACCTGTGAGGGGCAAATGATTAGGGGATTTTTATCCTCCAATCACCGACTGACAAGTGGACCAACCAGGTTCCGCCACGTGTCCTTCACGTAGGCCAATAGGAGCTTGCCACGTGTCAATCACAGATTCGTCCTCTGCGGACCAATTGAGACACGCCACGTGTCCACCCATGCCAAATGGGAAAACCGGCCACCAAGGCCCAATCCTGTTTAGAGGCCCGGTCAGCCCTAGGTTTACCCTAAACCTAGAGACTGGCACGCTTCTCAAGACTATAAATACTCCTCTTAATCCTCATTAAGGAAAAAAGAACTCGAATAACACACGGATTATACATTAAACACTCTCACCTAGAGAGGTTAAACCACTTTAATTTCCGTATCAATTACTCCTTAATCAGGTACTAACTTGACCGTTGGAGGCGGAGCTCTCAGGAGTCTCCGTTATTTTGCAGGTACAGGCGTCCGGTTCCAGTCTCGGTGTTGTAACTCTCCCGCAGGACATCAGAAAACCCCGAAACAACTCTGATTAGTGGTCTATCTTAAGTTAGTTAGTATTTGACGGTTGTATTTCTTGACTGCTTTGCATTATTGTTTGCATATCAATCAAAATGAATCAAGATTAAAGAATTGAACAGGAAAAGAGTGAAAGACCAATAATCAAATTTGACATTAAAATTTAGGTTTTCTAAGCTACCACACTATATAACATAGTTGTCCACTACGTTTTGCATTATTATAGTTATAATTCCCCTTAATGAGTATATAATTGTATAATTGTAAGTTAGTGGTAATAGTATATAATATGAGTTCATCTTATTTAATTTTCTAGTAGTTAAAAATTAATGGGTTGCTACTGAAATTTGATTATATGAGTTTATTAGCGTTTATAGAAAAATAATATGGGATTAATGACTTTTCACTCTCTATTCTATTTGTTGGTTTCACTATTAAGTGTACATCTCAATGTAATGGGTTTTCGACTCTTAACTAGAGTGTAAAAAGTACCTAAATGTGTTAGCATTGATAGGGACAATTATTTGTTATAAGGCTGAAATGTGTTGTTTTGATCCTGTTTTTTCAGCAATGGATCAAGGGTATGAAAATTATGATGAGGACAGACAAGATTATTTAGAAACTTCAGATTCTCAAAACACTATTCAGAATCAAGATTCTTCTCAACAACAAGTCACTACCACTAGTGGTAGTAAGCGTGGACGAACATCAGATGTGTGGAGGCATTACACCTTTTTTGATAAGATTGTTGGTCTTGCTCCGATAAGATATGCGCGATGCAATGTTTGCGGTAATGAATATAAAGCACCAGGTAAGGCTGGTACTTCCACTTGTAAAGCTCATACTAAGGCATGCATGGGTAAAAATATACATCATCCTGCAAATCTTGAAAGTGTTGTTGATCCTACGTTTAATCAAACTCGTCATTTACAATTGCTTGCTAGAGCTATAATTTTGCATTCCTATCCTTTAAATATTGTGGAGCATCATGGCCTTAGGGAAGTTTTTACGAATCTGAATCCTAATGTGAAGCATGTGTGTAGAAACACTATGTTGAAATATTGTATTGCTGAGCATGATAAGTTTAAGTCCTTGTTGTTGCAATCTTTTTCTGGAATTGAAGGTAGAGTTAGCTTCACTTGTGACTTGTGGACAACATGCACTAATCGAGGTTATCTCACTTTAACTGCACATTATGTTGATAAAAATTGGTGTCTAAGGTCTAAAATTCTGAATTTTAGATATTGTGGTCCTCCTCATACTGGTGTTGAGATAGAAAAATTTGTGTTTAAACTTATTGGGGAGTGGAACCTTCAGGGTAAAGCTTTTGCAATTACTGTTGATAATGCTCGATCTATGGATGTTATGGTTAAACTTTTGAAGAAAGATTTAATGTTGACTTCTCCTCTTCCTTGTAATGGTAAATTTTTTCATATTCGATGTTCAGCTCATGTCTTGAACATTATTGTTCAAAGAGGTTTGAAAGAAGTTGATAGTAGTGTTCAAAAATTGCGTGAGGTTTGTAAATATATTGATTCTTCGGACTCTAGACTTACTCAATTTGAGCATGCTCTTTCTGAGGTTAACTGTCTATTTAACGGTAAGTTACGTCTTGATGTTGTGACTCGTTGGAATGCCACCTATACGATGCTCCGAAAAGCTTTAGAAGCAAAGGAAGCCTTGAAAGTGGTTATCGATAAGTATATGGGTTATGAATTCAAACTTTCGGATGATGAATGGGATACCCTTGCAAAAATATGTCATTTCCTAAAGCCATTTTATGAAATCACTATGTTATTTTCTGGTTCTGAATATCCTACCGCAAATTTGTATTTTGCTAGTGTTTTGAAAATTGAGCACACAATAACTAAAGCCCATATAGACCCTAAACTTGCACCCATGGCAAAAGTTATGCTTGAAAAGTTTGAGGGCTATTGGGATGACTATAGTTTGATCCTTTCAATAGCTATTGTTCTTGATCCTCGCTATAAGCTTTTTCGATTGACGAATATGTTGAAAGTGCTTTATGTTGAGGAGGCATGTGTTGAAAAGGCGAAGGTGATTAAAGATGCTCTTTTGGAGTTGTATAACTTTTATTCTTCTATGTGTTCCGGTTTTAAGTCAAGTACAATTGTTCCCCCCTCCATCCTTATTGGGGTCGATAAATCAAATAGTCTCTTGGATGATGATGATATATTCAAGGTAATCATTTTCTGTTTATTGTGGTTTACTAAAATAATGATTATATGTCTTAATTTTTATTATTTAATAAAAGCATATTTTTTGCACTTTTCTAGGATGTTGATGTTGATGATAGCCTAAATCGACCATCGATGGAGATTGATAATTATTTGAATACTCCTCGTCAACCATCAATTGAAGGGCAGAATTATGATGTTCTCAAGTATTGGGAATCTCAAATTAATGTGTACCCCATATTAGCTATTATGGCTAGGGATGTTTTGGCCATTCCTATTACATCGGTAGCCTCTGAGTCTTCTTTTAGCATGGGTGGTCGTATTTTAAACAAGTATAGGAGTGCACTTTTGCCTAAGAATGTTGAGGCGTTGGTTACCACACAAAATTGGTTACGTGGTTATGATTGTGATATTGAAGAAGACGTCCTTGAAATTGGTAAAGAGGTGATAGATGAAAGTTTTGCATCTAATTAGAAAGGTATGGATGTTGTTATTTTACTGATGCTTAATTTATATTGTGTTGCTTAATTCAAGCTTTCTTGGTTTTTTTTTTTTTTTTTGTGAGAAAAGTGTAGCTTCATTTCTTACACTAATGATAAGTATAGGGTGCTGCTACTGCTGACTGCTTCTTCTCCTTACTGCTGTTCTGCTGACTTGCTGTGCTGCTGATTTGCTGTTCTGCTGTTGTTCTTCCATTCTGCTGCTGCTCTTCTTCCATTTTGCTGTTCTGCTGCTCTTCTTCCATTCTGTTGTTCTGCTGCTCTTCTTCCATCGCTGCAGTTCTGCCATTCTGCTGCTGCAGTCTGCAGTGCTGCTGATCTGCCATTCTGCTGCAGACTGTGGTGCTGGTGTTAATCTTGTTATGCTAAAAACTTGTACAATTCTGTTGTTAAAACTTGTTTGTATGGATTGGTTGGTTTGATTTTGTTACTTTGTTGTTAAAAATTGTTTAATTATGTGTATGGATTGGATTAGTTTGTTTTGGTTTTGTAAAGTTGAAACTTGTTGAATTAGAAGTTTTATAACTTGTTAATGCTATTAATCCTATTATGCTACTGGAATACTGCTATGTTGATGAATAAGGCCCAAAAGGCCAAAAAATTGTAGGTTATTGCCCAAAACCAAAATTGCAGATTATTCCCCAAAAACCAAATTAAAGTCAATACTCACGAATTAGCTAACGAAGTGCTATTTCTAAGGGACTTTAGTATTAACTAAGTTACTAAGATATATACAATTAATATGATAAGTACATGGTCTCAAGAAAAATTGATAAGTATGGAATATATGCTAAATATATTCTAAGATTTCTAATATTTAATCCATATAATTACATAAAAAAGTGCACCAAAAAAAAATTATTATTACATACAAAAAAAGCTTGTAAACGGTTCGATTTATAAGCGGTTTGGTTCATAAACGGTTCGGTTTATAAGTAGTTCGGTTCATAAACGGTTCGGTTCATAAACGGTTCGGTTTATAAGCAGTTCGGTTTACAATCAATTCGGTTTTTAAATGGTTCGGTGCAAACGAGTAGCAGTTTGCTAACAGTTCGGTGTAAGCGGTTTTTATGCCAGTTCAAACGGTTTCGGGTTGGAATCGGTTTCGGGTTAGATACGGTTCGGTTCTTTTTCGGTTCGGTTTTCTTTCAGTTCGGTTTATATTTGGTTCGGTTTGTTAACATGTTCGGTTCTTAAACGGTTTAACATTACTCGGATTGGTTCGGTTTCGGATTTACTAAAATGCGGTTCGGGTCGGTTTTCGGTTTCAAAGAAACGGTTTTTAATCGGTTCGGTTCTCATTTGGGTCGGTTGGATTCGGGCAGTTAAACGGTTTCGGTTTGAAATTTGACAGCACTAGGGCCATGACAACTCGAGCTAACAGTACATATACTCTCACTTTCTCTCTCCTAAATTTTTGAACAAAAAATTTTAAAAAAAAATTAAATCTTTCAACAGTATTCTTAGTTCTTCGTCATTCAGAGAGACACAGAACAAGTTTGTTGTGGAAGAAAATGGAAATAATATAATCGACAATCGACAATCGACAATTGATAGGTAAGGTAAGATGATGGCACACCTTGAATGGTCGGGGTCAATAAAAAGATTTGTACTTGACTACTCGTATGTTGTGTTATTTGTATAGGTTAGATGGTTCATAGTTAAAAGGGTGTGTGACAGAAATCGACTCGAATCTAATGTAAAGAGTTACACCTAAAAGTCGAAAAAGTTTGGCCAATTGCTCCAAGCTGTTTTTTGTGTAAAGAGATAAATAGAATCAACAATCAAAAAAGTGTCAATAAATACCAAGATTGTACGCTTTAGCTTTGTTTATTTTTGTCGTCCCTTTAACTTGTAGATTTTGTCAATTTTTTATTTATTTATTTATTTATATTTCCAAGTTTGTAACTTTTTCAAGCAGTCCTTTGTTTGCTTTTTTATACTCTTAATAACTACTCCGTACTTATAAAGTGGAGTAAATAACTATAGAAATTCACTAACAACATATTAAGAAAATTAAAAAATTAATGTCCGAAGTATATAAAAATAGTGGAGGTTAGACAGTTGGTAAAAAAGATGAAAATTTGTGAAGAATTGAAAATGAAAAGAAAATCAGAAGATTTTTGTACTTTGAATATGTGCTTTAATATTTAAATATGGACTAATCTATTATATTTTATTAAGATAAACTAATCACTTCAATTAATTATTACTTATAATACTTAAGGACGTTATGGTAATATGGTCCCCTCTTTCCCACGGAGTATGATTTTTTTTTTTTTTTTTAATAAAATGATGTAGTATTTTTTAAAATCCACATTTTTATGGCGATTTTTATGATGATGAAACTCAATCATGGAAGATGGAAGTTTTGAATTTAAGCTTTGTTTTTTCTCATCTTTGAATTTTAAGTTAAGATAAACTAGATGAAGCGTGCGATGTACGATTTGTTTGAATTTTTAATTTTTTTATTTTATATACTAAATTTTGTTACATATTTAGATAAAATTAGATGAACCCCGTGTTTGAATTTTTTAAAATAATATATATATATATATATATAGGAGTGGATTATGTGAAAACAAGGCTTAAGCTGAAAACTGAAAACATTAAATCCTGACCGTATATTATGATCTGATGGCTAGTATATCACTTAACTGAATTTATTGAGCGTGATATTATATACGGAGTACTATGCAGATATAATTACTCTGTACATTTTCTCTCTCCTCATTCTCTCTCCTCACCCATTCTAGAATTTTGGAGTACGATTTTGCGATTAATTTGCTACAATTTTATCTGCGATTGTTGTGATTCAACTTGTATTTAGCTTCCAGAGTCTTGTAAGTTTATCCGCCTCTTTTTCTTTTATTATTTTTCGATTCTGGTTAGGTTAACTATCATGTTAATTTGATTTTACTGGTTATCGTACTTATCGATCAATTTGTTTTTCGCTGTTAATCGATTTGTTTCTTTCCTTTGATTGTTAATCAATTTGTTTGTCGATTGTTCAATTCCTGCGATGTTTAGATTCTTTGCATCAGTGTGAATTTTGTTAATTTTTAGTGTAATTCTGCTAAAATTAAGCTGAAATAAAATTATAATGGTGGAAATCCAAAGTGGCTAGTTCTTAGTGTAATTTAATGATTATTTGAGATTTCAGATTTTTGATCTTTGTAGAAGCTAATGTTACAACAATTTTTCAAACGATCAAGTAAAATTTTTTGCATCTCTACAAGTCAAAGTTCTTATCTCTACTATTTTTTAGTTTAATTTTTGACTATTTTTTTCAAATTGTTTTTTTAGTTTCGATTTCAATTTTAGTTTGGCAGTAGTAGTTTTGAGTTGAATTTTGTGTAATTTTGCTTGATTTTGGTATATTAGGTTGTAAGCGTAAGTTTTTCTCGATACTCTTACTCATGTTGTTCTTAACCTTATTTGGAGCACATTTTTGTGTTTGTTGCCAATAATATTATGATCTTAAGCAGCAGTGAGAAAACAAAGGTTCTGTTGAAGTTGTGGGTTGTCAAATATATATTTCAGAGTACTTTGCATATGGATTGTATTGTGTTTGTGTTTGTGTTTGTGTTTGTGTTTGTGTTTGTGTTGAGTATAGGAGGAGAGAGATTAGCATGCCTAGGTTTTGGGTAATTATGTGTGATTCAACTTAATGGTATGGCATTCTTTGAGATTCATTTCATTTGGACTATTGTGTTGCGGTGGTTATTGTGATAACTGATCCTGTGAAATGGTGGAGGTGCATGAACTACATGACTGGCTAGGCGAATGAAGGTGGCTCGTGGTTGTTGCGGGAATGCGTAGCTACTATATGTATATAGCCATCTTTATGTAAATATTGTAACATTGATGTAGTTAACTTATTTTTATATATATAGTGACCTTTATTTTTGTGTGTAGACCTTTATGTAAATGGAGTCAAAAACTCAAAATCGATATAGTTACCTTATTTCTATACACAGTGAACTTTATGTAAAGGTTGTCAAATTTGATATAGTTACCTTATTTTTGTATATAATGACATTTGTGTAAATATTGTCAAAATTGATATAGTTACGTTATTTTTATATATAATGACTCTATATAAATATCGTCAATTTAGATAAAGTTACCTTATTTTAGTATGTAGTACCCTTTAAAACAGTTGAATTGGTTATATGTAAGGTTGGAAAGATCTTTAGAGCTTTTAAAGCGTCTGATCTTTTGTGCTAATAATGAATGGTTGAGATTTGCTGTTTTCAGCATAAGTCTTGTTTTCAGCGGAACCACCCCGTATATATATATATATATATATATATATATATATATATATATATATTTTAAAATTTAGAACATATAAGTTAAAATTTAGTTATTCAAAATTTATGATATTAAACTTAACTAATTTATGGTTTGGAACATGTGAGTATATATATAGGGGAGGGATCCGGTGAGAATAGGTTCATATGTGAGAATTCATACTTATATGAGAATTGATTTTAAATTTAGAACAACTGAGTAAAAGTTTAGAACATATGAGGAAAAATTTAGAATATGTGTCTGAAATTAAAATTTAGAACATCTGAGTAATAATTTAGAACATTTATGTGAGTAATATGTTTAGAACATTTTATTTAAGAATTAGAACAAGTGATTAAAAATTTATAAAATCTGCTTTAAGAAATTTTAAACATATGAGTAAACTTTAGAACATCTGACTTAGATTATGAACATGTGAATAAAAATTTTGAACAAACTGATATAGAATAAAGAAAGTGTGAGTAAAAAATTTAGAACATACGAGTAAAAAAATAGAACATACGCTTTAAAATCTGGAACATATAAATAAAAATCTTAAAACACACATTTTAAAATTTAGAACATATAAGTTAAAATTTAGTTATTCAAAATTTATGATATTAAACTTAACTAATTTATGGTTTGGAACATGTGAGTACTAAATTAGAACATTTGATTTAATTTAGAGCACCTAAGGGAAAGTTTAGAACATCAAAATTAAAATTTAGAACATACGAGTAAAAATTTAGAACATAAAGAGTGTTCTCACATACAAAAAAATTCTCACATAAGAAAAATTCTCACGAGAGCCTCCCCCTATATATATATATATATACTTCCTCCGTTCTTTTATTATTGCACCACTTGCCTTTTTAGGAAGTTTCACAAATATTGCACCATTTCCTCTTTAGGAAAAACATTATTTGTGTTCACACTACAAATACCTACCATACCCTTACTTTTTCACACTTACTTTTTGGTTTATCAATATGTCACATGGGCAATTTTGTATTTTTACCTTTCTCTCTCTTACTTTTTTCCACCACCAAAATATTTGTACCCAACCCCTATGGTGCAATATATATGCGCTAAAATTTGTTATATATTTAAATAAAATTCCTAATATCAAAAAAAATTATTTTATATTTAATTAATTTAAACAGGGAAATCTCATTCGCCAATTTTGCTTACGTGTTATTTAAATTATTTAATTCTGAAAGAAATTAAGAATCTCGTATATAATTGGCTACCACTAAATTTATTATCTTATATGACACGCTGAAAAAATTAAATCCTACGTGGCTTTTTAAAAACTCGGGAAAAAACTCCCCTTATATATTATACATTAGATGAGTTTATAAGAAAATGATAAACATATTCCTAAGGGCTATGTATAAAAAGCTAAAAAAGGAAATATTAAATATACTACATCCGTTAAATTTAGTTGCAACTTTGGAATATTTTATATCTCACGAATAATACCCCAAAGTTGCAACTAATATTTAACTTATGTAGTAAATTAAAATTATTACATCGATTTGCGTGTGATTTTGCAATGAATTCCTAATTTAATTCTATTTCAATTCCATTTTAAAAAGTATATTTATTGCTTATATATAGCCCTAAGGGTCTGTTCTCTTCAACTTATTTTCAGTGCAGTTCAGCTCCAATCAGTTCACCTCAGTTCCTAACTTCCTTCTCTTATAAAATATTCAATTTAGTTCATTTCACCTTCAATCAGTTCAGTTCAGTTAATCAGAATAGACCATAAGAACTACATATATCATTACCCTAAATTATAGGAGTATTAAAAATTTTAAGTTAGATTTCGTTTGATTTGACATAATACGGTCTCAATGAAAATGGTTTTTAAAGGGGGGGGGGGAGATTGTAAAGTAGTTTTCCTTTGTGCATTACTTCACATAAGAAAAGTTATAGAGAAAGAGACTGGAAGTGGAAGGATGAGGATGAGGATGAAAGAGACAAAAAAAAATGAAGGTAATGAGGTGAAGAATGGAATTGTTGTCCACCATTGAAAAACTAATTTTTAAATATTCACAATTTAAACCAAACACCCAAAAAAAAAAATAAAAACCTAAAGAAAAATGTGAGAAATGAGAAAAATATTTTAAAGGAAAGCATCTTACACCCAAGCAAATACTCCTATATACAATTTAAACAAAAGAATAATAACTTAAAATAAAACACTTTTGAACATTTATTAAACATGTCCTTTGAAATGGAGGTGTGAATAAACCTTGTTGAGTTGTTGATATGAGGTGCACACACACACAAACACACACAAAAAAAAAAAAAAAAAAAAAAAAAAAAAAACCTAGTTTTAAATTGGAATTTGAAATTATATATATGATCTAAGTTTTGGGCCATAAGAGAAGATAACTAAATAAAGTACTCCATATTAATTAAATTTATGGGAATAAAAAAGATTGTCAAGAAAGAGGAGGAATCAAGTGAAGAAGACAACTCAAAGGGTCAAAGAAGACAAAGTGAAAAGGGTGATTCTTGGAAGGGAAAAAAATGGCCATAAACAATCCAAAGTGTTATCCATTTTTTGAAATTTTCCATATTATTTAGGCCCAAAATATGTAATTCTATCCACTTTGCATAATTTGGTCATTGAAATTTTCCCCACTTTGCATAATTCGGTCATTTAAATTTTACCCATTTTAATTATTTGGTTATCCATGATTTGGTAAACTCCATGTATCATTATATATTTAAATGGTTCTTTGGTGTGCAGTTGTGCACACATACTCTTTTCATTCTGTCTTAAAATACATTTCTCTTGTTAATTTTTAGTAGCAATAGTTTCACTTCATAAACATTAACACCAACTATGATTTATTTAATAAGATAAATTTAACGCATAGTTATGACTATTAATTTTCATTTATTTTTAGATTTTATAACACTTTCACTTTATTCCATATTTGAAAAATTCACTTACAGTACTACATTACTCTTCTTACATTAAACCTATGCACCTTTTCACATTCACTCGCTTGCACTTTCGGATCATGCTAAATTATTGTGTTTATACAAGTCAAATCGAATCAATTAAGTCGGTCAGATGGATTTTTTTTGACACCTTTACTAAAACCTAGCTAGGCATCTATTATACACCCTGCAAATTATATTAATGCTAATAGTGACACACAGACTAATTAAAACGAAAAGTTTTGCATCCAAAAAAATTATACTCCCTCCGTTTTTAAATACTTGCTCCACTTTTCATTTTCGGCCATTTTTAAATACTTGCTCTATTTCCTTATCTGGAAAGGTTTTACAACATTTAATTAATTTCTCTAGCCTAATGGACGCACCATAAATTATATTTTATTAATTTTATATCATCTCTCTTCCAATTCTCTAAACTACTTTTGATTTTTACAATTTTTATTCTTTCACCTATCCCATTACCTTCATATTTTATTACTTTATCCAATCTCTCCTAGAACTCCGCCCATAGAGAAATGTAGCAAGTATTTAAAACGGAGGGAGTAATAAATAAATCAAGAAGTACGCCCTTCTAAATACGTTGACATATAAGTTGACGGAAAACTTTTGTATACACCCGGTTTTCAGTAATTTACTGTACATCGGGTACACTTTTGTCACATTTAGTGTCACTTTTGTCAAATTTATCAATAAAGCGTAAATAACTCTTATATATGTCACGATAACTTTTGTGCGTTTTAGTGTAACTTTTGCACATTTTATTGTCACTTTATAACGGATGTTCAGTAATTTACTGAATATCCGTTTTATTTAAAAGTTTGTGTAAGTTGACATACTAAGTACGTGTATATTGTATCATAGAATACATCAAGCCGATCTAGGCCAATTGGTTGATATGGAATATTTGACTATCATACACTCATGTTATCATTACATCATCTTAAACTTCATGCTCAAGGAATTGAAATACATTTTTTTTTTAAAAATAAAGAGAGAAAACTACTTAATCCACTTTTCTTTTTCTTTTTTTTTTGAGAGAAAATTACTTAATCCCATGACTTAATATAAATCAAATAAACTATTGACTTTAGCAAGTACAACTTACTCTTATATCATCCCATATTCAAACATTATTATATTACATCAAATCTCTTAACTCTTTCAAACATCATGCCCTCCATTATCGAACATGCATCTCACAAACTTGTTCCTCAAATCTATGACCTTTTCTATATTTTCTTCTCACCATATCATATAAATTCCCTACACAAAAACATGTATATCAACCAAAAATATAACCAAAAATTAAAAATAACACCCCAATCACGTCAAAAGTACTAAAAAAAATGGCCTCTTCTAAGGCCAAAACCATAACATTTTCTCTCCTCCTAATCACAGCCTTTGCAACAACCCTTTCTTACGCATCCGAGTCTAGGACGTACACACCGTCGTCTTCATCTTACAACTACCACCCTTACTACTACTCCGATGGTGGTGCCACTGGCTCCGATAAGGCCGCCTTCATACAAGTCCACAACGAAGCTAGGGCAGCCGTAGGACTTCCCCCGTTCACTTGGGATGACAGGCTAGCTTCCTTTGCTCAATCATGGGCTAACCAACGTATTAAAGATTGTCATTTGATTCACTCTGATGGTCCCTATGGTGAGAACCTCTTTTGGGGTAGTGGTGGTTATTCAGCAGCTTTCGCCACGAAAACATGGGTGGAGGAGCGTAGGTACTATGATTTGTACACTAACTCTTGTGCTAATGGTATGGATTGTGGGCATTATACTCAGATTGTTTGGAGGAAATCGACTCGCCTTGGTTGTGCTAGGGTTACTTGTTATAATGGTGGTGTTTTCATTACTTGTAACTATGATCCTCCTGGCAACTACATTGGTACCCGTCCCTACTAATCATTTTTTGAAATACTCATATTGCTAAAAAAAAGTTCTTTCTATTTTGGACGGTGATTGTCTCGTTAATAAAAAGTAATTTAGAGACGGAGTATTTTTTGTTTTTAGAACGCCGGTCTTATTAATTGTTAGGAAAATTTGCCAATTACTACCGCAAGTTAATACTACTTTGTAAATTACTACCGCAAAAAATTTTAAGATGTTGCGATTACTACCAAACCCCCATTAAACCCAACTATGACGTCATTATATCACTTTAACCCATGGTTAAAGCCCTTAACCATGACGTCATTATATCCCTAACCCATTTTCTTTTTTTGGGGGAGGGGGGGGGGGGCTGGTTAAAGCCCTTAACCATGGTCAAACACGGGTTAAAGGGATATAATGACGTCATAGTTGGGTTTAATGGGGGTTTGGTAGTAATCGCAACATTTTAAAATTTTTTGCGGTAGTAATTCACAAATTTTTTAATTTGTGGTAGTAATTTACAAAGTGGTATTAACTTGCGGTAGTAATTGACAAATTATCCTAATTGTTATGGTGTTACAAGAAGATGTAGGCTAAAGGAGGGTTTAGACCTAGTCCTAAACTCCTAATTAATACTTACATATATATGCTAACTCTTTAACTTATGTTCTTGTGATGATTTCAGTTGATGTATGTTGTGTTTGTGTGTGTGTTTTCATTCCTTTTATTTTCATTAACTAAATGATAAATCCATCTATATGTATGTAATTGTAATGGGTATTTGTAGGATTTCAAATGAAAAGTTGGACAAGATTCGGAAAACTCGATTATTTTAGCTGCTCTACAGCTCTTTAGGCTCCTCAATGATCAAAATTATTTGTAATTAAACAAAAAACAGAAACTATGTTTGCTGAAGGTACATCGGAATAGAGCTGTGAAAATCTTTAAAATCATAACTAGCATACATGTGTAATTTATACAATTACACTGCATAAATCGAGCAGTTTCACAATAAAGTCATGAAATGGCCAATTAGGAGGAAATTTTGTTCTTACAAAAGAAAATGAAATGAGTAAAGTAATAGCATAACCTTAACGCTTTGTTTGGATAGCAAAGAAGGAAGGAAAAGAAGGGGAGGGAAAATGGAGGAAGGGAAGAGAAAAGAAAGGGAGGGGGAGGTGAGCTCCATTTTCCCTCCAAATCTCTCCAATTTTGGAGAGATTATGGTTATTAAAGAGAGAGGGAAAATGAATCCCTTCCTCTCCTTCCCCTTCCTCCCCCCAATCTTTTACCCAAATAAGAGATTTTATCCCCCTCCATTTCTCTTCTCTTCTTTTCCTTCCATTTCTTCCTATCCAAACAAAGTGTAAATGATTTAAAGAAGCTTGCCTTGCATGGGTTGCTGACAATTACAGATCATTGTATCATACAGTAGAGCAATGAGGCTAAATGGGGGAGCTTAGGATAATTGTGCAAGCGAAACACTTGATGCAGCAGGAATACAAATTACGATCATTGTAGCACACCTAGCTTCTTGAATCTTGATTTAGAATTCGGGATGACCTAACCTGAAAACTGAAGCATAAGAAATGGAATATTATTTTGTTATGCAAGCCTTACAAGAACTATAAGCTTCTGTCACTGCTGAAACATATAATGAAGCCTCTTGCAGACTTTATGGAATAATTGCAAACCAAAGTTCATTGTTAACAGCTTAACACCATCATCCAGAGAGGAAAATCTTAGGAGATTAATAATTCATGAGTCATGCTCGTGTTGCCGCCAAAGGCAGGTCATCGAAAACTTAGGGCCAAACAGAAGTACAGAGCACTAATTCAGCGAGGAAAGCATTTAGCTAGAAGAAGCCCCTGTAAAAAAAGGTGGGTCGACAGTAAAATATCATTAAAGATCGAAGAGCTAACCACAAGGATAGTTTTACTCCCACCATTCCCATACAAGTTTTATGCACACAATCAAAAGATATTAGTAGTTCTTGCATTATAATTTAAACTAAACCTGGTAACCAGTAAAACAGATGACATAATACGATAATAGAGTAAAGATCAGCTAAGTGGTCAGACAGTATAGAATGACGAGGGGCACGGGGTGGTGGGTAGAAACTTACATCATCGGTTCATCCAGCACATATTTTTACTACTCGGGCAAAATCTTGTGCTTAAATGCTTGTGCAACAGTTGTTGTCGAATGAATTCCAACCAAACTTTTTTTTTTATCGAACAACATCCTGCATCAAAAATGCTCAATTGTTCACAGCTTGTTTCAGATAGCTAATTACCTCTTTTTGAAGCAACTGCTGCTTATGCTTCAGTGTTCAATTCGCAATATCTACACAGACACAATTAACATTGTCCTCAGATGCTCTGATGAGAGAAAAATAGTTGAATGACTGTTTAAAAATTAGACAAGAGGAAATGGAATTAACAGTAATAGATGTCAATAAATGACTAATGAAACTATACATTGCTTAAAATTCTTCCAAATTCGAAATCAGCAAATTATGTTCATCAGAATAAAACCACAATCTCAATTGGGGGGGGGGGGGGGGGGTTGAGCTTGAACCATTCACAAGAAACTGAAACTAAGAAAATGCTGAACACGAAAAATGAGCCAATACAGATCGACCCTCAGCATAAACCATATGCCAACACAAAATGAGGGTGCTGAAAGTCATAGCAGACGCTTCCATTTCATTTTCATTTGCATTTTACACCAACTTCAGCAGCACGATGAGGCTTGCTTTTTCTCCTGCTTCCAATTTGTCTAAACCCTACTGATTTCACAAAACCCTCAGTAATAGACTTTGCTTCTGCACCATTTTCCTCCTTGACGGAATCTAAATTCTCCTGCACTTGTGATGAATTCTTCCTTTTTGTTCCACTCACAGCAGTAAATTGACCTTTTGAGCTTCTACTTGTCATTGAACTGTTAGCATTTTCTTCACCGTTTGCTATCTTTGCACTCTCTACATCTTCGACCTCATCCTTCAGTGGCTTCTGTGGCCTCCCCCTTCTCTTAGATGCCGGAATGTTCTCCTCTTTTGCGTTCTCTACGTCATTGTTAGATGTAACAGCAGTCTGCTTCTTGCCTTTTCCTCTACCTCTAACCATGATGAAGAAATTCGGATAAAAGCTCAAGACGATGGATTAACAAGCCTGCAAACAGAAACTAGCAAGTTTATAGAAAACATCAACTACTACTTTACAGTTTACACCTACTACAACATCTAAAGGAAGAATGCAATAATGAACCATGTTCTCCTGTCAAAGTTCCATGACCAACAGACTTCAAACTTGAACTTCTACAATAAGGCGGAACATAAATTCGATCATACAAGTAACACATTAACACTCACAAGTTCAGTAATGTTACTTCAGACTTGAAATTCTAATATAGGGCGTAATTTCCTCTTACAACTTATTAACATACATAAGTTTGGTAATGTTACTTCAGACTCAGAATTCTACAATAGACGGAACATAATCTCTATCATAACATTCATAAGTCCTCGAAAATTGACAGATTTAAACTCCCCAAATTCAGGCAAGTCAAAACATTCATTCATTTCAATATAAAATGCTGAAAACTAAAGTATTTTAACACATTACTAAAACAAGCTATAATCTGGAGAAAAATCAACAGCATTACACTTAAACTCACATAAAATTTTGTTGAACCCTGATCTTTCTTGACCAATCAGAAACTGTTATCAAACAAAACAATCCTTTTCGATGAGATCAGAATTAAAATATATCTCAGCCATAATTCATGCTCAAAGTTAAAACTTTAAATATAATTCAAAATCAAAAAACCAAAGAAAAAAAAAAGGGAGGGGGGGGGGGTCATCAATTTCATTCAATATCAATATACAAAAGCATTGAAATTATAACTATAGTTAAGGGAAGAAGATAAAATCATATAACCCAATTAAAAATCAAAATTACAAAGACAACTAAATTCGAAAAGACAGAAATCCAACTAAAACAATGAAGCATGCAAAAATTAAGAAGAAAGAACACACATAATATATCAAATTATTAAATTTCTTGCATTGATCTCAGTAAAATTAATATAATTACAAGAGCTGACCTCAACAGATGACAACCATCATTAAAATGAAAGGGGATAATCAAAATGTAATTAATTAAAAAACCCAACAAGAAAAAGAAAAAAATGAGTTTAATTTTGGCAAAAAGTAAGAAGATTGGTAGAGTTGGTTGAAAATTATGATCTGGGTAAAGAAAAATTTAAAGACCCAGATCAAAACATGATTAAGATATTGTGATTTGAAAAGATTGAAAAAGAAAGGAGTGGATTTTTTTTGAGGGGTTTTTCTATTGAAGTATACCAGGGGCTGAAACAAAGAGGTGAGTGTGAGAAGAGGAAGAAAAAATGATGGAAAGTGATAAAAAAAATTAAAAAAGGGAAGGTAGTATTAAGTTTAATTTTTGTATTGAATTGAAAAGTTGTGGGTTGTTCAGGAAACAAGAAAGGAAAGGGCAAACAAGATTGCATAGTGTAGTACACTTGGGTTTGGAAGTTATCTTGATTCTTGCATCATCTACTATTTTTAAATTTCTATGACTCATAGCTCCCACTTATGCAATCTCATTTAGCCGGAAATTAATTTTGGCACACCCTTTATTAATTTTGGCACACCCCTATGTGAGAAGAGCATAGAAAACTGTCCTCTCACATAAGGGGTGTGCCATAATCAGTTAAGGGTGTGCCAAAATCATTTCCCCATTTAGCCATGTATTTTTTTTTCCAAACTTGTTTATATATATCGACGTTAAATTGACTCGAGTTTGTATTTAAGAGTAACACTATTAGTAGTGCGGGCGTTGCTCGAGGTTACTACTTTTATAGTTGTGCAAGTGCTAATTTTTAAGAACATCTAATAATTTGTATGTACTATGTGTCTTTAATACTTTGTGGTATAATATTATTTATTGTGCAAGGTTAAAACATAATTGACAATTAGCCTAGATGATTAAACAATAACCTTTCTTCTAAGAGGTCAAGTGTTTAAACCTTCTCATTCATATAAGAAATTGTGTAACCAAGTGATGCGGCAAAATTATGAGGTCTACGTGGCGTATAGACGTTTTTAGAAACGCCTTTTAATAGATAAGTATAGATTGTAGTAAAAGTTTTGTGTAGAAAGGATTCACGTGAGTTAGGTCATACAAACAAAAAAATAAGTTTGAGAAAAAAAAAAAACTTAATGGTCAAAAATTAGATAATAATAGTTAGGAAATTTTTTAAATTACCACCTAAAATGTAACCAATTTCGAATTAACCACCCGTTTAATTTTTTATTTTAAATTACCACCCCTTAAATTAAATTAACCACCCGTTTAATTTTTTTATTTTAAATTACCACCCCTTAAATTAAATTAACCATAAATAACAAAAAAAATGCTCAGATTACCACCCATCTCAAAAATCCGGTGGATTTTCAGTCTATGGGACCCACCTAACGCTTATTTTGACCATTTTGACTGATTTTTTCCTCGATTTTTCTCTTTAAAAACGCTCTCCTAACTTCAATTCACATTTTTCTCTTTGAAATTTGGTAAAGGAAATGTGAATTAAAGTCTAGAGAGCGTTTTTAAAGAGAAAAATCGAGGGGAAAATCAGTCAAAATAAGTGTTTGGTGGGGCCTATAGACAGAAAATCCACCGAATTTTTAAAATGGGTGATAATATGAGCATTTATTTAATTTAAGGGGTGGTAATTTAAAATAAAAAATTAAACGGGTGGTTAATTAGAAATTGATTACATTTTTGGGTGGTAATTTAAAAATTAACCTAGTAGTTAAATATTAGATTATAATTGTCAGAAATTAGATTATAATAGTCAGATATTAGATTATAAATATCAGATTCTATAATATAATTTTTTAGAAAATAGGTTAAATATATGGTTTTTTCACTTTATACCCCTGGGCTTTTTATTTATTCACCATATACCCATGAAAATTTTCACATTCACCATATACCCCTAATTTATTACAAAAATTCACTATACACCCCTAATGAATATAAGATGTGTGGAATTTGGTTAATTAAACCTCGAAACCACCTTAGTTCTCTCCCCCTCATTCCAAAATCACTCCTTTTCTTTTTCCAGCCCCAAAACCACTCCAAATCTCCATAACTATATTTGTATGATTGATTTTGAGGATAAAAAAAAAGGAAATTTAGGGTGGGTTTGGGGGTGGAAAAAAGGACTGTGGGTAGTTTCGGAGGTAGGGGAATATATTTAGGATGGTTTTGGTTCATAATTAGCTCTAATGATTGACAAAATTAAAAATCATTAATCATCAAAGATATATAGTGTATTTTGGTAAAAACTCGGGGGTATATGATGAATTTACAGAAGTTCGGAGGTATATGGTGAACAAACAAAAAAAACTCAGGAGCATACGGTGAAAAATTCGTTAAATATATCAGAAAATAGGTTAAATATATCAGAAAATAGATTATAATGCTCATGTATTAAAACCCCTCTTCCTTCCTTTCTTTCTCTCTCCTCAACAACCCACCATCTCTCCCCTCTTTCTTTGCAACTCACATTAGTTGCAGAAATCATGTACTTTCAAGCAGTAATTTGAATCGAGTATCAGATTTGACATAATTTTAATCTATCAATTACTCTCAATTTGACATAATGGCGGAGTATCAGATTTGATATAATTGCAATCTATCAATTACTTTTAGAGCTTTTGGTTGCCGCTGTTAATGGCGGAGTTCAAGAATCGTTGCTCCATCAAAAGCAAATCGAGCTCGAAATTCGAGCTTTTACTACTACGGTTAATCGTTTTCAGAAGCAGACTCATCAATGGCTTGCTGCTTTTCGATCTCTTAATACTATAATTAAGGTTGGGTTTAGGCTCTTTTGGGTCGGTGGTGGTGGAGTTGTGGTGGTGGACTCACGTGAAACGGACTCACACAAGACATTTTGTAACTCACGTCATCATATTCTTATTTAATCCATTCAATTAGTTGGATCTGGGCCGGGCTAAGGCTAATCTAAAAAGGGTTGGTCAATGGGTTACTAGGCATGGCCCAACCCAGCCCATCAAACTTTGCAAAACAAATTTAATTATAACACCCCATTTAAGCTTCTTTTATCACATGATCTCATAATTAAGTTTATAGGAACTTGCTAGCATACCTATTGAAAGTTCAAAGTCAAGGCTCAACACTTAAAACATGACAGTACACTTGCATATACACATAATATTAACCAAGAAAAAGGCTCCAAGCCAAATAGGGTTTGAGCACCCAAGGTTTGACATAACTTAGCCATAACATCTAATAGAGATGGTACTCCTCAACTCTAGAACTTTTTCGCAAGCAAAATCTCAGTTACAATCTTCCTGTTTAGAATCTTTTGATGATGATCCCTTGATTCAATTGCAGCTTGCTCTTGCTCGGGTGTATTGATATATAATCCTGACCCGTGCTGCGCCCCTACTCATTCTCCTGAAATCAATTAGTTCCTCTGTAACTTGGGAGGTGTCATTGTAACACTGAAATAACATTTGTTAGTCTAAGCAAAGCCATCCCCATTTCTTCCATAACAACATAGAAATGCTTCTGTTCACAAATTATCTAGCTAAAAACACTGATTTCTACTTCATGTATAAAAAGATGAAGTCACAAAAATGAGCAACAAGGCAATCTGATGGTGAGAATTCCCCACATCATCAATCCAACATAGATCTCGATTTTGACAACTTTGTGTATTTGCTCCAACCTACTCTTCAAATGTGTAATATTTGACGTGAAGGTGAGAATTGCTCCTTCGCTCTACATGCTGAACTTTCAAATCAATCGTGCTAATCATAATGACTAAGGGTCTATTCTGATTTACTGAATTGAGTAGAACTGAAATGAGCTAAACTGAATTGTTTATGAGAGAAAAGAATTAGAAACTGAACTGCACTGAAATTAAGCTAAAGAGAACAAGTCCTAAGTAGGAACAACAATGAGCAAACAAAACGAAGATTTTTTTTCCTAGCACGTTTCATTTCATTCAACTCCAGACACTTCATTGAAGTTAACTCGGTCTTAATGATTTCCATGTCCCTTGTTATTATTTTATTACGTTATTACACTCAAATAACAACATCCATGTACATTATCACTTCAAACGAGATTCATCGTGAGCCAAATACGATGATTGTCCAACCATGACAAGCCAGAGCTTGCCAATTAGTATGCTTTAAATTTGCTGTAGTTTTGTAAATCGTTCTAGTTTAGTAGCCTTAAATTGTACAGTAAAACAATAATTATAGGTAAGTGAAACTCAAAAAATTTATCCCCTGCCAAAGATTTTCAAGAGGGCTCAGCAAATCAGACACCTCTTTGTAATACTTTGCTTCTCTTATTTTTATTTTTATTTTTCCTCTTCATATTTTAATCTCAATAGAAGCAATTTAAACCCATGTATTAGTGTGGAAACAATTAGCTACACACCTACATTGGTGAAAATTACAGATGTGTGAAGTTAAATTCATTCCTGAAAAAAATGATAATTTGTTTTACAAGCAGAGACATGAAATCTCAAACTTTAACCGATATTCAGCATCCACTTCATCTACTTCCTTCACGAAGGCGTCCATGAAACCAGAGCCAATAACGACATTCATACATGCAAAATTCGAAGTAGAAACAGCAAAGAAAATGTATTTCAGATCAGCAGTTCTTGATTTATAGCTTGAATCTACAAGGACAAGAGATAAAGAAGAAAATTTCAGAAAATTATCTCAGCATCAGAGACATATAGATAGAAATGGCCAAATTGAGGGTTGCAATTTGAATATCAACTAAATAATAGATTTTATTTAAAAAGTAAATAAATAAAAGAGATGTACTCGTATATAAAAGATCATTGTTAAAAAGAGAGCGCTTTGAGGGAGCACATTAGGAAACAGTAAGGGTAATTATTTGTACTTCCCCCAAACAAAGAAACATAAAGATCTGGAGTTACTGACCAAGGGTGCCTGATTCAATTCTAGCAGCCTCAACTCAAAATATCTATCATTCTATCTTCTACAATTCCTTGGATAGAGGATTTGTAATTCTCCTTTTTTTTTTCTTTTTTTTTTTTTTTTTTTTTTTTTTCCCTTTTTGATTTATTTGGGTATGCAAAATTCCTTCAAGCTTTGAATATATATTACGGAGGGAAACAGAACACGATTCAAATATTAGATAAACAGTAATTGTGTTCAGTTGTGCTTACAGAGTTACATATGAAATCCCAAACAGTCAGAAGCTAGCACAGAGAGCAGCATTGCTTGATGGTACATAGTTCAGTGTACAACCTGAAAACAGAATTTTTTTTCCTTCAGTTGGTATACTCTAAAAAACTTCTGGCAAAACAAGGAGCCACAGTTAGAGAATTAACTGAAGGCCATAAAATTACATTCAATAATATACCACTCTAGAAATAATGTTTTGTTAGAATATTAGATTTAAATGTAGAATACATGCATGGGATCTTTCCTTTTCACCGCCATTTTATTAGCCTGTATAGCACAGACAACGGGATTTTTTCTGCTGCACTTGTTTAAGACAAGCTACAACAAGGATATGGGTGGTATTCTAATGCCCGACACTTGAGCTTGGAAACTATGGGATGCACCACAACGTCCACAAGTAAAGACCCAAAATACAGTAAGAGCACATAGAAGACTAGAAGGAGGAGGACCACCAAACTTGAAAGAAGCAGATCTACTATCTTTGCAACAACAGAAAGAAAATCTATCTTTCCCTATATCAGGGGAGTAGGAGTTTGCCATAGAACATTTTTAAAATTGTGGATCAGAAAGCCTACATGATGAGTTTGGGTGAGGAAACTTCGACATATGGGAAGAAAAAATGAAGGATCTATTTCCATTGTTCAGGTATGAAATAGGAAAAGGAAAAGAACGAACTTGGAGGAATTCATTTTCCTCGAATAATAACTAGTCTCTCAATAATGGTAAATTTCAGAAGTAAAATGTAAATCAACTCCTTCCCTTTCCTCTCCTCCTAACTTTTTTTTTTTTTGGAGGATTCCCCTCCTTCCACCTGATATTTTTTGGAGGAATCTTGACATCAAAAGATTCATTTTTTAAGATTATTGACCAAACCAAGTTATTTAGTAGATTATGTGCCTAGGGGCCCCAGGAGGCCAAGAGATAGGTAATTGAGCTTAATGTCAGAAAATGAGTTTCGAATTTTTACATTTTAAATTATTCTGATATAAACCGTAATACAGAATTTATAATGCTATGTGTCCCCATCTTCACGCTCACAATTACAACAGAGTAGGCCACGGCAAGGCAGAGACCTGGATAACATTACCTTCATGCAATAATTATACACTTGCATTAGTAGCCTATAGTTGCTGCAGAAGGCAAAGCTAGACAGTACCAAAGCAAGACCACGAAACTCTCAGTTTGGCTGAATTGTTAAGTAACCATAAAGTTTTTCATACAACCTAAAAATCCTAAAATCCCAGATAATAATTATAAAAAATAAAGAAAATTAGCACAACCCTAATATACAAAAATGCTGCAATTCAGAAAACTGGAACTACATTCAAAGAACCTTGACTATTGACATCTCTAGTCTCCTATTCTTTAAAATCTGATGATCTAAGCATAAATTAAAATTCATGTTAAAAAATCAAGGCACCTAGCTTAGTAACTTCAGTCTAAAACCAAGGCAGATTACAGATATTGAAAGAAAAATCTTACAAGGTATGCTCTCAAATATTCAGCTGCAACATATGTTCAAGAACCAAGATGAAACATAAACAAGACAAATGGATGATGTAAGCTCTCTTAGTGATTACAGAGTACCTGTCAAGTACTGAACGCACTTTGTGATTATGCTGAATAAAGTCCAAAAGCTTTGAGACTTGGAGTAATAATAGCTGAAAATCTGAATCAGTTTCTCAGCATGCACAAGTTAACTGTGCTAATGAGCAGGGAAACTTATTTCACATAAATCGTCTTCTTCAACTCCTGCCACACATCAAGGCCTCTAGGATGTTTATTTACATACTTCTTCACAAAAAATGAGTCCGTGCATCCAATTATGGTACTCAAACTCAATGTACTGCAAACAGCATTTTGATTGACAAGCCAATTGTACATAGAAAATCTAAGCTTTACCCTTTCCATTGTATAGGCAATGAACCCTGGGAATGGTTTTAAACTTGACACTGGATAGCCTAAATCATTAACGAGATATCTAATCTTTGTCTCTATAACTTCCTTTGATTGATTGAGAATCTGTGGTGCCGCTTTTGTCATCTGTGCGACATCCCCTTCACTGAGCCCTGCTTTGACAAGACAGTCAAATCTTTCCCAGAGTTCATCTCCTTTGCCGCGGAATAGCTTTAGTGCCTTTTCCATTTCATTTGAATGTTCTGTGAAGCCAATACTTGATAAGAATTTAATCCTCTCCTTGCGAGGACACATTCTAGTCTCAGACAGGCGCTTAATTTTTGCTCTCAAAACCCAATTCTTTAGCACCAACGGATTTTCTATAATGATTTCGCACAAGCGTTTCTTTCCTATATTCAAATTACAAATTAAACTGTTTGCTTTCTTCACTGAGCATGAACCCAGCAACATGACATGTGTTTGAATAATATTTTCAATATTCAAAGCATCCATCTCTAATTCACAAAATAACTCAAAAGCGCGTCCAAGATTCTGAAGAAATTTTCCAACTTTGATTTGTGGAAAGTGAATAAACAGTGAGCATATATCATTCTTTGTGCATCCAAATTTTAGCAGATAACCAATCAATGAAAAGGTCAATCGACCTGAACGATCAAATAAAAGTTCTGGATGTTGCCTCAACAAATTCCCCAATTCCTCGTTTTCACAGCCTATATCATTCAGCATATGTAGCAACTCAAAGACTTGTCTCCAATTGTAGGAAGCATTCTCCAATAAATGCTGCTCAACCCATTCATATGCAAAACCAAGGCACTGCAACTTTACTACCACCTTAAAAAACTCTTTTCCCCCACCATCAATCAAAAGACAAGGGTTAAACACAACAGCCTTAGCTATAACAGGTTTACTTAACCCGAGCTCCTCAAATTCTCGTAGCTTCGATATCAAAACCCCATTACCATATCGAAACACCTCTCTTGCCCCTCTATATATCCTTCCTATATGATAGCGATTAACCCCATATTCACACAAAACAAAGTAGTTATCAAACAAACCTTCCTCATCACTCAAAAACATCAAATCACGCGGAAGTTGAGGAACAAACTCAGAAGGTTCCAACCCTATACTTTCAAAGAACGGTTCGAATTCATTAATAGGATGGTAACGCAAGAAACGAGCCACAGAACGCCCGATTTCAGGCTCATTCTTGACATTATCTACCAGCTTCCTCAAAAATTGAGGGGAATTTTTGCTCATATGCTCAGCATCCAAAAAGGGTAAGCTTCTAGTAGAATGCAAATAATCTAACAATGCACCTTGAGCCTCCTTCTTAATAGTTTTAGAAAATCTACGAACTGTATCACCATTATTGGAAGTTGAACTCCCTTGAATACCTTCATTTTGCTCAAAATTAACATTCATAGTACTAATCAAACTAGAATAATGCTGTACATTACTATAATTACAATAACATGGAAAATCACATCGAAAAATAGGGTATTTTAATGGTAATTTAAAGGGGTTTGGGGGAAAATCAGAAGAAACCCATCTGAGAATAGGATATAATTTAAGTTTACGATAATGGGTCATCGTTAATTTGTATTACAATGTTTCAGAAAAAACAAGCAATTAGAATTTGGAGCTCGAAGAAGACATCAATGGCGGATGTTTTTACCTGAATTTGAAGTGCAGGAGACAACAACCAAAAAAGGATGAAAAGGAGGAGGAGAAACCGGCGACGGCAGAGGCGTAGGAGTAGGAGAAAACAGCGACGCCGGTGGAGGAGAGAGTGGTAGTCAACAGCGACAGAGGCGTAAGGGTGGAGACATGGACGTGGAGGGGGTTGCGTTGGTAAAAGTAGAAAATGATTTGTTTTTTTCTTTTTTTTTTTTTTTTACTTGTGTCATTTCCCCCATTTTTTTCTTTTTAAAATTTGATTTTCTTGTCAAATTTTTTTTTACAAAAAATAATAAAAGTTCATGGCTTGAGTTATGAGACGAGACAACTCGCGGGCTACTCGAACTCGATTCGGTCAAAATTCAGCTCGAGTGAGCTCAGCTCCAACTCGAGATTTACTCGAAATTTTAGTGAGTCGAGTCAAGTAGCTCAATACTCGACTCGAAAACTCGTGAGAAACTCGAATTATATTACATTATTATATTTAATAAAAATAAAAATAATTTAATTCAAAAACTTTTTTTTACAATAATAATTACTAAAGATATATATATTTATGTACTCATATCATCAAATTTTACACTAAATAGAGGGTTCTACTAAAATCGAATCAATTACCAAGCTACTCGAGATTGACTCGGACATTTAGCTCGACTCGATTTAGCTCGACTTGATATGTTAACGAATCGAGTTATGCTACCCCAAACTCGGCTCGCATCATAAGCACCCCCTAATAGCTTGACAATGAGGATAGTGTACAGGATAATGCCGGTAGCATCTGTTAATTAGCCGATAAAAATGCATTACGCCGCTAATCCTCTGTTAATTAGCACATCATCTCAGCTCTCATAACGACCTTCCTCTCGGCCACGTGGAGAGCTGCTCAGACCACGTAGGCACCTGCTGCCTATAAACTCGGCTCGCATCATAAGCACCCCCTAATAGCTTGAACAATGAGGATAGTGTACAGGACAATGCCGGTAGCATCTGTTAATTAGCCGATAAAAATGCATTACGCCGCTAATCCTCTATTAATTAGCACATCAGCTCAGCTCCCATAACGACCTTCCTCTCGGCCACGTGGAGAGCTGCTTCAGACCACGTAGTTCATCTAAAACTGTGATTAATCTTCTTCTAAAACTCCCTCCCCCATTATTTTATCATCCTTAAAACTTGCTTTAGACTTTTAATTTCCTTAAAATGATAATTTGTTTATACTCAGTGATGTGTCTATTTTATATAGTATTTTACCCCCGTCCCCTGGTCATAATTAGTAGTGTTTTTGGCTCTTTAAAGCCACTTTTATTACTAATTGGTGTTTTCTAGTGTTTTCGTAGATTTGGTTGACTTTTGCAGGGATTTGCACTTTTGGAGCATTTTCCCGAGATATTATGGAACAATCACGATCACTGGAGAAGCACGACCAGTTTTTATAGCCCAGGGCCGGTTAGAGCCATCGAACCGGTGATTAAGGGCTCGGTCTATGTGATACCGGGGTGTTTGGACCGAGTATTCAAGACCCGAAGAGGAAACCCAGATTGGCCCGAATAATTGGAGCCCAATCGTAGTCCAGATAGTGGCCCAAGAGAGCCGCCCGGCCAAAAAGGCTGGCGCCCGGAGGCGCGCCCGGCCGGGGCTGAAAGGAATGGTGTCCTTCGAACAAGTGTATTATTCTGATAGCGGGTTCAGAATTATTAGAAAGCTAATATATTTGGTAAGGTCAAGTGATCGGAATGCCTGGGTGGAGGCCGCTTCCGATCAGTAATATTAATATAATTAATATTACAACTTAATCTTCACTGAACCCTTCGAGTCACACCCAAGCAAAATATACGAACCGACTCGACGAATTAATTCGGAAGAAATTAATTCGTCGCCCGAGTGTTAAATATTTAGACGTCGGTAATTCGAGCTTGGAGCGTCGAAACCGATCGTCGGAAGTCGAGTCAAAAATAATAAAAAGACGAGACGCGCAAAATAATAATAAATCGACCATATTCCCAAAATACCCCTAGCATCGGAATGCCCCGAGCATCCGAATGCCAGGGGAAAAAATGTCCAAGCATAGGTGGCTAGTAAGCGCACCAAGCCGAGCCTAGCATGACTGGCTAGGTGCGTGCTAGCGCACCGTGCTAGCAGCCACGCACAGCAGCAGCTAGCAGCCGCGTGCACGTGGTGCGTGTAGCAGCTAGCTGCCGCAAGCTAGGCGTGCTAGCAGCGCACGCACTAGCAGCCACGCACAGCAGCAAGCCCGCACCAAGTGCAAGGCTTGCGCGCACAGCAGCATCCCGCATCTTGGTGCGGGGCTGGGCTCGTGGCTAGGCCATAGGGTCGGTCACTATGGGGAAGCTTGAGGAATATGGGAGCAAGTGGGTAAGGACATGTGGCACAAGGAGAGTATTGAGTGGGGAGCAAGTATGGTCCCCTACTCTCCATGTGGTCCTCACCAACCCATTTCACATGGTAATGCCACTTGTAGATTTATTATTAGTTTGCAATTTTAATTTAATTTAGCTTTAAATTAATTTGTGGAATTTCATGATCCCACATTGATGGGATAGAAATTCCCACTCATACTTTCCTCTATAAATACCAACCTTGGGATTTGGAGTAAAGTGCTTGAGTGGGAGTTAGAAAGAGCATTCCATATTTTGGGAAAAACTCTTAAACTCCATTAACACTTGGGTTTTGGTCGGACCTTGCTAACTCCAAGGTAGCGGACCTAAAAAGTCGTGTTCGTCCTTTGTGGGTGGATACCGTTGGAGGCACGACATTTTCGGTGCTCAAGGCTTTCAAGTAAGAGCCCATTTTGAAAGGGAGAAGCTCGCTTTAAGGGTATGATTCGTTCTTCCTTTTCTTGTGTTTATTTATTTATGCTTTATGGTTTTATTAATTACGAGTGGTTCCTTGGGTCGGGGTTCTTTCCGCGGTGAGTCGGACTCACCAAACCCCAACAGGGGCCGAGCGAGTGAAGCAAAGGTCGGCGCCCGGTGACGCGCCCGGCCGGGCGCGAGAAGCTTACTGACGAGCAAAAAGGCACGCCCGATCGGGCGGTGCCACGCGCCTGATTGGGCGCGTGTAATTATTAGGGGTTAATTTCGTCGTTTAAGTTTGTTTTAGTTTAGGATTCGTACGGAGTATAAATACTTCTCCGTAAAACGATTTTAGCATCTTCTTACTCTCTTATTTTACTCTCTTTTATTTACTTCTTAGATTTTCTCTCTCTACTTAGCTTTTAGATTAATTCTTTATCTTATACTTTTGTTCTTAATCTATTCTTAATTCCAGATTTATTTTACGTAACTATTTCTCTTCTCTTAATCTTAGTTGTTACTTTATTCTTTTGATCATGTCTTGTTTTATTGCTTTGATTAGTTTAGATTCTATTATGTGTGAGTAGTTTTATTTCTAGGGTTTGTGGGGATCCATAAATAATATGAAGGGGTAATTTATTGTTGTTGATTGTCAATGCTAGATTAATTTCCTACTGACTGATTTAATGCTCTGTGACTAGATTAGTCCTGATCTTTTATGCATGAGTTTGACAATATTGATTCGAGATTCGACAGATGAGAATTGATGTTTAGGTCTAGTTTCAATAGGCAGGTTAATTTATAAATGGTTAAGTCGAAATTCGAAAGATGAGATTTAATACCGGTAAATTAATTGTGTGATTGTAATACGTAGCGAAAGCCCTTTATGATCTGATTGATGTATGCATTGATGAATGATTATTATATTCTACCCTGAAATATTATTTATTGGTGAACCTATGCCCTAGATCCTTTTATTCATTGTTTTCTCCCTACTCTTAATCTTCGTAGTTTAGTTTCATATTCAAATTCACATACTGGTTACTTTATAATTTAGATTACATTAGTTAATTAGGAATAGAAAGACTCGTTTCTCTGTGGATTCGACCCTACTTCCCTATCTACATTAGTTAGAGGATTTAGGAATTACTTTTGATTTGGGGATACATACGACTTTACCCTGTTAAAATTTGGCGCCGTTGCCGGGGAAACGGTTTTATTTTTATTTCTGATTATTTTTGTAGTCTAGGCTATTTCTTTTTGTCTCTGAGGCAAATCTCGTATTTGCTTTTAGTTTTTCTTTGTTTATGCCCAGGTGTTCCAGTTCAGGGTACATCCCATTCAATCCTGAGATCGAACGATCCTTTCATAGACAGAAAAATCTCTACAAGCAAATTCTGGCGGATTCTGGTGATAATAATAATCACCGAGATCCTCCAACTGGTTCTAGCGATTCAGAGGTATCATCAGATCTAGAATCAGAGATGGCGACTCCAAAGAAGCTTAGTGATTACTCACAACCAAAGCTTACAGATTTTCCACATCTCACTCCCACTCCGGCTCTTGATGGGGTACAATTTGAGATCAAACCTCAATTTATAACGATGATAGAGAGGAAGCAATTTAGTGGAGCAAAGGGTGAAGACCCAAATCTTCACGTTGCCGACTATTGTCAATATTGTAACACCATCAGGCAAGCCGGGGTTACACAAGACCAAATTAGGGAGATTCTCTTTCCCTTCTCTTTAACTGGAAAAGCTAAATTGTGGTTTAATGGCTTAAATAGAACTGCACTTGGTATAACTGACTAGGAAACTCTTGTTTTGAATTTTTATAACAAGTATTATCCTGTAGAGAGAACAGCCGTACTACGGAGTGCAATTCAGAACTTTGCCCAAGAAGCCGATGAAACTTTATATGAGGCTTGGGAGAAGTTCAAGGACTTACAAAGATAATGCCCCCACCATAATTTAGCACAATGGCAGTTAATCCAAGCCTTTTATAATGGCATTGGAAACTCATCTAGAATAATTTTAGATTCTGCAGCTAGTGGGAGATTTATGAATCTTAATGTTGATGATGCAGGTCAGGTTATTGAAGATATGGCGATACATAATTCCCAATATGGGAATCCTAGAGGCTTTTCTAATAAGGGGAAGCATAGTGTTGACTCTGTATCCTTTCTGCAAGCTAAATTGACCTCTATCTGCCAAAAATTAGATAATCTTAGCACTGCCAATATAGCTAATGTTTCTGCAATTAATAATAATGCTAATGAGGCTTTCTGTGAAAATTGTGGAATTATAGGTCATTGGGAACAAGATTGCAGGAGTTCCGTGGAGCAAGTTAATGCCTTTCAAGATTATAGGCAGAATAACCCATACTCCAACACCTACAATCATGGGTATCGGAATCATCCGTACCTTTCCTACCGGAGTACTAATGTTCAAAATCCACCACCACAAGAACCACAGGCGCCACAGCAACAACAGCAGAAATATTACCATCCCAATGCTGGCCAGAAAAACCAACCACAACAATCCTCCTCATCTTCCGACCCTTATCTGGTGGAAATTAGAGCGATGTTGGTCAATATGCAGAAGCACATGGAGAGTTGAGACGCGCAAATTGATTCAATTCTAG